AGTTTTGCTATGTTACTTGGAAAGAAGCATAAACGTCTGATGAAGAATTACGGACATTGTGTTTTAACAATTTAATAACTTTTTAAAGCAAGCGTTTATATAACATTCAATTTAAACTTTACACTTAGTACAATAATCTTAGAATGTATAAAAACAGATAGTTAGTTACCCACATTTAACTTAAAATTACACCGCTATCTCTAATTAAAAACAACTAATATAAATGTATTATAACGTGTGTGAAGCAATTAATATTGTTTCCCAAAGGGTCAGACAAAATTACCTTTAATTTTTATAAAGTTTAGGTCTGAAATAGACCATCTCTTGACGAGTCGATGACGTAAACTGCACTCAGTGTGCAATGTCCCAATTCCACCTTTTGTGCACGCTTGCAACCTGCGCACTCAAACCCTTGCGCGCACTTCATACAAATGCAGTGTGGGTATTGGGACTGGGCCTCAATGTATCTCAGAGAGGGCCTACATTGGCCGGGAATCGAACCCGGACCTCCCGCTGACCTCTCGACTGTTGAGCAAGAGGTTAGTGATTCGAGCACACCAAGGGACGCTCTCTGTCATATGTAGCAACTTTGTGTTGGATGGCAATGAATGGACTTTTGTGTTAAAACCATGTTCCCATACCGGGAGATGAACCCGGGCCGCCTGGGTGAAAACCAGGAATCCTAACCGCTAGACCATATGGGATTCACCAGGTAAAAAAACACAAGAGATTGTCTTCCGCACTCGACTTGTGACCCAACACTGCAGCGGCAAGTGATTGTTATTGCTCAGCCTGAAGTATTCAATATGAGAGCAAAACATTCACTTTGAAAGTGCTACCAGAGGAATTGTGCTACCAGAGGAATTGTTTTAATGGCACAACTGGCGATTGAAGGTAAAAAAAAAATAAAAAGAAGTTTTTTTTCCAAATTCCAATTTGCTCAACATCTATCTCTTGGAAATTTTGTTCCATGCATCCAACCGAAAAAAAAGGGTCTTTCAAGGTTTTTTTGTCTCTTGCAAGACAGGAGAGGTGTTGTCGAGGCGCCTCAAGACCGACACTTTATGTATCTCAGAGAGCGCTCTATGTATCTCAGAGAGGGCCTGCATTGGCCGGGAATCGAACCCGGACCTCCCGCGTGGCAGGCGAGAATCCTACCATTGGACCACCAATGCCTTAGCAACTCAATATTAAGGTTAAAAAAGAAAGAAAATGGCTAGAGGAACCAAAAAATTCAAGAGTGGAAGGTTTTTGCGACGGGGATGGGAAACCTTAAGAGTAAGAAGGGCTAGTGCCAGGCCGCACTTTGGGCAACGGACTTGTTGACGAGGAAGCGCCTTGCCATGGTCCTCTCTGGTCACACACCATGAAGAAGGGGAGCCATGCCCAAAGGACCAGCGGAAAAGATGGCGGTAACTTCATGCCTCTGTGTTAGTTCGCTAACACACCTACTAACATTAGAACGATACAGAGAAGATTAGCATGGTCCCTGCGCAAGGATGACACGCAAATTCGTGAAGCGTTCCTCATTTTTGGCACCCCTGTTGTGCCATGGGATGCTCTGGTGCCGCACACTCGATAGGATTGCTTTCTAAATTTGGTTTGACCTGTGCTTAAATGGTATTCTCCGTCTGCTGCGGCTTTATTTCCACGCAAAAAACCACTACGTGAAACTCGGCGCGCTCGTCTGTTGAGCAAGAGGTTAGTGATTCAAGCACACCAAGGGACGCTCTCTGTCATATGTAGCAACTTTGTGTTGGATGGCAATGAATGGACTTTTGTGTTAAAACCATGTTCCCATACCGGGAGATGAACCCGGGCCGCCTGGGTGAAAAACAGGAATCCTAACCGCTAGACCATATGGGATTCACCAGGTAAAAAAACACAAGAGATTGTCTTCCGCACTCGACTTGTGACCCAACACTGCAGCGGCAAGTGATTGTTATTGCTCAGCCTGAAGTATTCAATATGAGAGCAAAACATTCACTTTGAAAGTGCTACCAGAAGAATTGTTTTAATGGCACAACTGGCGATTGTGAAAGTGCTACCAGAGCAATTGTTTTAATGGCACAACTGGCGATTGTGAAAGTGCTACCAGAGGAATTGTTTTAATGGCACAACTGGCGATTGTGAAAGTGCTACCAGAGGAATTGTTTTAATGGCACAACTGGCGATTGTGAAAGTGCTACCAGAGGAATTGTTTTAATGGCACAACTGGCGATTGTGAAAGTGCTACCAGAGGAATTGTTTTAATGGCACAACTGGTGATTGAAGGTACAAAAAAATAAAAATAAAAGAAGTTTTTTTTCCAAATTCCAATTTGCTCAACATCTATCTCTCCGAATTTTTGTTCCAGGCATCCAACCGAAAAAAATGGGTCTTTCAAGGTTATTTTGTCTTTTGCAAGACGGGAGAGGTGTTGTCGAGGCGCCTCAAGACCGACACTTTATGTATCTCAGAGAGGGCCTACATTGGCCGGGAATCGAACCCGGACCTCCCGCGGACCTCTCGGCTGTTGAGCAAGAGGTTAGTGATTCGAGCACACCAAGGGACGCTCTGTCATATGTAGCAACTTTGTGTTGGATGGCAATGAACGGACTTTTGTGTTGAAACCATGTTCCCATACCGGGAGTTGAACCCGGGCCGCCTGGGTGAAAACCAGGAATCCTAACCGCTAGACCATATGGGATTCACCAGGTAAAAAAAACACAAGAGATTGTCTTCCGCACTCGACTTGTGACCCAACACTGCAGCGGCAAGTGATTGTTATGGCTCAGCCTGAAGTATTCAATATGAGAGCAAAACATTCACTTTGAAAGTGCTACCAGAGGAATTGTTTTAATGGCACAACTGGCGATTGTGAAAGTGCTACCAGAGGAATTGTTTTAATGGCACAACTGGCGATTGTGAAAGAGCTACCAGAGGAATTGTTTTAATGGCACAACTGGCGATTGTGAAAGTGCTACCAGAGGAATTGTTTTAATGGCACAACTGGCGATTGTGAAAGTGCTACCAGAGGAATTGTTTTAATGGCACAACTGGCGATTGTGAAAGTGCTACCAGAGGAATTGTTTTAATGGCACAACTGGCGATTGAAGGTAAAAAAAAAATAAAAAGAAGTTTTTTTTCCAAATTCCAATTTGCTCAACATCTATCTCTCGGAAATTTTGTTCCATGCATCCAACCGAAAAAAAAGGGTCTTTCAAGGTTTTTTTGTCTCTTGCAAGACAGGAGAGGTGTTGTCGAGGCGCCTCAAGACCGACACTTTATGTATCTCAGAGAGCGCTTTTTGTATCTCAGAGAGGGCCTGCATTGGCCAGGAATCGAACCCGGACCTCCCGCGTGGCAGGCGAGAATCCTACCATTGAAAAAAGAAAGAAAATGGCTAGAGGAACCAAAAAATTCAAGAGTGGAAGGCTTTTGCGACGGGGATGGGAAACCTTAAGAGTAAGAAGGGCTAGTGCCAGGCCGCACTTTGGGCAACGGACTTGTTGACGAGGAAGCGCCTTGCCATGGTCCTCTCTGGTCACACACCATGAGGAAGGGGAGCCATGCCCAAAGGACCAGCGGAAAAGATGGCGGTAACTTCATGCCTCTGTGTTAGTTCGCTAACACACCTACTAACATTAGAACGATACAGAGAAGATTAGCATGGTCCCTGCGCAAGGATGACACGCAAATTCGTGAAGCGTTCCTCATTTTTGGCACCCCTGTTGTGCCATGGGATGCTCTGGTGCCGCACACTCGATAGGATTGCTTTCTAAATTTGGTTTGACCTGTGCTTAAATGGTATTCTCCGTCTGCTGCGGCTGTATTTCCACGCAAAAAACCACTACGTGAGACTCAGCGCGCTCGGCTGTTGAGCAAGAGGTTAGTGATTCGAGCACACCAAGGGACACTCTGTCATATGTAGCAACTTTGTGTTGGATGGCATATGAATGGACTTTTGTGTTGAAACCATGTTCCCATACCGGGAGTTGAACCCGGGCCGCCTGGGTGAAAACCAGGAATCCTAACCGCTAGACTTTTGTGTTGAAACCATGTTCATACCGGGAGTTGAACCCGGGCCGCCTGGGTGAAAACCAGGAATCCTAACCGCTAGACCATATGGGATTCACCAGGTAAAAAAAACACAAGAGATTGTCTTCCGCACTCGACTTGTGACCCAACACTGCAGCGGCAAGTGATTGTTATTGCTCAGCCTGAAGTATTCAATATGAGAGCAAAACATTCACTTTGAAAGTGCTACCAGAGGAATTGTTTTAATGGCACAACTGGCGATTGTGAAAGTGCTACCAGAGGAATTGTTTTAATGGCACAACTGGTGATTGTGAAAGTGCTACCAGAGGAATTGTTTTAATGGCACAACTGGTGATTGAAGGTACAAAAAAATAAAAATAAAAGAAGTTTTTTTTCCAAATTCCAATTTGCTCAACATCTATCTCTCCGAATTTTTGTTCCAGGCATCCAACCGAAAAAAATGGGTCTTTCAAGGTTATTTTGTCTTTTGCAAGACGGGAGAGGTGTTGTCGAGGCGCCTCAAGACCGACACTTTGGCCCCGTCCCAATACTCGCACTTCCACCCTCGCGCCCCTCATTTGCGCGTTCCCGATAAAGGGTGCGAGTGCGTAGGGTGTCCCAATTCTCCAGGGAGGTCTTTGGCCCCGCCCCCTTTGCGCCCCTGATCCACACTTCGCCGTAGCCTGCATCTATGCACACTCTGGCGAAGGATATTGACCCTCATAATTCTTTGCGGTACTCTCCAAAACGACGGGAAAATCAATTAAATATAAATTTTCTATATGCAGTATGTGTGTCTTTTGCTATGTTACCATAAACGTCTGATGAAGAACTCTACGACTTTTAACAATTTAATAACTTTTTAAAGCAAGCGTTTATATAACATTCAATTTAAACTTCTACACTAGTACAATAATCTTAGAATGTTAAAAACAAGACTCTCTCCTAGACTCTCTCTCCTACAGACTCTCTCTCCTCAGACTCTCTCCTCAGACTCTCTCCTCAGACTCTCTCTCCTCAGACTCTCTCCTCAGACTCTCTCCTCAGACTCTCTCCTCAGACTCTCTCCTCAGACTCTCTCCTCAGACTCTCTCTCCTCAGACTCTCTCTCCTCAGACTCTCTCCTCAGACTTTCTCCTCAGACTCTCTCTCCTCAGACTCTCTCTCCTCAGACTCTCTCCTCAGACTCTCTCTCCTCAGACTCCTCAGACTCTCTCCTCAGACTCTCTCCTCAGACTCTCTCCTCAGTCTCTCTCCTCAGACTCTCTCCTCAGTCTCTCTCTCCTCAGACTCTCTCCTCAGACTCTCTCCTCAGACTCTCTCTCCTCAGACTCTCTCCTCAGTCTCTCTCCTCAGTCTCTCTCCTCAGACTCTCTCTCCTCAGACTCTCTCTCCTCAGACTCTCTCTCCTCAGACTCTCTCCTCAGACTCTCTCTCCTCAGACTCTCTCCTCAGACTCTCTCTCCTCAGACTCTCTCCTCAGACTCTCTCTCCTCAGACTCTCTCCTCAGACTCTCTCCTCAGACTCTCTCTCCTCAGACTCTCTCCTCAGACTCTCTCTCCTCAGACTCTCTCCTCAGACTCTCTCTCCTCAGACTCTCTCTCCTCAGACTCTCTCCTCAGACTCTCTCCTCAGACTCTCTCTCCTCAGACTCTCTCTCCTCAGACTCTCTCTCCTCAGACTCTCTCTCCTCAGACTCTCTCCTCAGACTCTCTCTCCTCAGACTCTCTCCTCAGACTCTCTCTCCTCAGACTCTCTCTCCTCAGACTCTCTCCTCAGACTCTCTCTCCTCAGACTCTCTCTCCTCAGACTCTCTCTCCTCAGACTCTCTCTCCTCAGTCTCTCTCCTCAGACTCTCTCCTCAGACTCTCTCCTCAGACTCTCTCTCCTCAGTCTCTCTCTCCCTCAGTCTCTCTCTCCTCAGACTCTCTCTCCTCAGACTCTCTCTCCTCAGACTCTCTCCTCAGACTCTCTCCTCAGACTCTCTCCTCAGACTCTCTCCTCAGACTCTCTCCTCAGACTCTCTCTCCTCAGACTCTCTCTCCTCAGACTCTCTCTCCTCAGACTCTCTCCTCAGACTCTCTCTCCTCAGACTCTCTCCTCAGACTCTCTCTCCTCAGACTCTCTCTCCTCAGACTCTCTCTCCTCAGACTCTCTCTCCTCAGTCTCTCTCCTCAGACTCTCTCCTCAGACTCTCTCCTCAGACTCTCTCTCCTCAGTCTCTCTCTCCTCAGTCTCTCTCTCCTCAGACTCTCTCTCCTCAGACTCTCTCTCCTCAGACTCTCTCTCCTCAGACTCTCTCCTCAGACTCTCTCCTCAGACTCTCTCCTCAGACTCTCTCCTCAGACTCTCTCTCCTCAGACTCTCTCTCCTCAGACTCTCTCTCCTCAGACTCTCTCCTCAGACTCTCTCTCCTCAGACTCTCTCTCCTCAGACTCTCTCGTCAGACTCTCTCTCCTCAGACTCTCTCCTCAGACTCTCTCTCCTCAGACTCTCTCTCCTCAGACTCTCTCCTCAGACTTTCTCCTCAGACTCTCTCTCCTCAGACTCTCTCCTCAGTCTCTCTCTCCTCAGACTCTCTCCTCAGACTCTCTCCTCAGACCTCTCTCCTCAGACTCTCTCCTCAGACTCTCTCTCCTCAGACTCCTCAGACTCTCTCCTCAGACTCTCTCCTCAGACTCTCTCTCCTCAGACTCTCTCCTCAGTCTCTCTCTCCTCAGACTCTCTCCTCAGACTCTCTCCTCAGACTCTCTCCTCAGACTCTCTCCTCAGTCTCTCTCTCCTCAGACTCTCTCCTCAGACTCTCTCTCCTCAGACTCTCTCCTCAGTCTCTCTCCTCAGACTCTCTCTCCTCAGACTCTCTCTCTTCAGACTCTCTCCTCAGACTCTCTCTCCTCAGACTCTCTCCTCAGTCTCTCTCCTCAGACTCTCTCTCCTCAGACTCTCTCTCCTCAGACTCTCTCTCCTCAGACTCTCTCTCCTCAGACTCTCTCTCCTCAGACTCTCTCCTCAGACTCTCTCTCCTCAGACTCTCTCCTCAGACTCTCTCTCCTCAGACTCTCTCTCCTCAGACTCTCTCTCCTCAGACTCTCTCTCCTCAGACTCTCTCTCCTCAGTCTCTCTCTCCTCAGTCTCTCTCCTCAGACTCTCTCTCCTCAGACTCTCTCCTCAGACTCTCTCTCCTCAGACTCTCTCCTCAGACTCTCTCTCCTCAGACTCTCTCTCCTCAGACTCTCTCTCCTCAGTCTCTCTCCTCAGACTCTCTCCTCAGACTCTCTCCTCAGACTCTCTCTCCTCAGACTCTCTCCTCAGACTCTCTCTCCTCAGACTCTCTCCTCAGACTCTCTCTCCTCAGTCTCTCTCCTCAGACTCTCTCCTCAGACTCTCTCTCCTCAGACTCTCTCCTCAGACTCTCTCCTCAGACTCTCTCTCCTCAGACTCTCTCTCCTCAGTCTCTCTCCTCAGACTCTCTCTCCTCAGACTTTCTCTCCTCAGACTCTCTCCTCAGACTCTCTCCTCAGACTCTCTCCTCAGACTCTCTCTCCTCAGACTCTCTCTCCTCAGACTCTCTCCTCAGACTCTCTCTCCTCAGACTCTCTCTCCTCAGACTCTCTCTCCTCAGACTCTCTCTCCTCAGACTCTCTCTCCTCAGACTCTCTCCTCAGTCTCTCTCCTCAGACTCTCTCTCCTCAGACTCTCTCTCCTCAGACTCTCTCTCCTCAGACTCTCTCCTCAGACTCTCTCCTCAGTCTCTCTCTCCTCAGACTCTCTCCTCAGACTCTCTCCTCAGACTCTCTCCTCAGTCTCTCTCTCCTCAGACTCTCTCCTCAGACTCTCTCTCCTCAGACTCTCTCCTCAGTCTCTCTCCTCAGACTCTCTCTCCTCAGACTCTCTCTCTTCAGACTCTCTCCTCAGACTCTCTCTCCTCAGACTCTCTCCTCAGACTCTCTCTCCTCAGACTCTCTCTCCTCAGACTCTCTCCTCAGACTCTCTCTCCTCAGACTCTCTCTCCTCAGACTCTCTCCTCAGACTCTCTCTCCTCAGACTCTCTCCTCAGACTCTCTCTCCTCAGACTCTCTCTCCTCAGACTCTCTCTCCTCAGACTCTCTCTCCTCAGACTCTCTCTCCTCAGTCTCTCTCTCCTCAGTCTCTCTCCTCAGACTCTCTCTCCTCAGACTCTCTCCTCAGACTCTCTCTCCTCAGACTCTCTCTCCTCAGTCTCTCTCCTCAGACTCTCTCCTCAGACTCTCTCCTCAGACTCTCTCTCCTCAGACTCTCTCCTCAGACTCTCTCTCCTCAGACTCTCTCCTCAGACTCTCTCTCCTCAGTCTCTCTCCTCAGACTCTCTCCTCAGACTCTCTCTCCTCAGACTCTCTCCTCAGACTCTCTCCTCAGACTCTCTCTCCTCAGACTCTCTCTCCTCAGACTCTCTCTCCTCAGTCTCTCTCCTCAGACTCTCTCTCCTCAGACTCTCTCTCCTCAGACTCTCTCCTCAGACTCTCTCCTCAGACTCTCTCCTCAGACTCTCTCTCCTCAGACTCTCTCCTCAGACTCTCTCTCCTCAGACTCTCTCTCCTCAGACTCTCTCTCCTCAGACTCTCTCTCCTCAGACTCTCTCTCCTCAGACTCTCTCCTCAGTCTCTCTCCTCAGACTCTCTCTCCTCAGACTCTCTCTCCTCAGACTCTCTCTCCTCAGACTCTCTCCTCAGACTCTCTCCTCAGACTCTCTCCTCAGACTCTCTCCTCAGTCTCTCTCCTCAGACTCTCTCTCCTCAGACTCTCTCTCCTCAGACTCTCTCCTCAGACCTCTCTCTCAGACTCTTCTCCTCAGACTCTCTCTCCTCAGACTCTCTCCTCAGACTCTCTCCTCAGACTCTCTCCTCAGACTCTCTCCTCAGACTCTCTCCTCAGACTCTCTCTCCTCAGACTCTCTCTCCTCAGACTCTCTCTCCTCAGACTCTCTCCTCAGACTCTCTCCTCAGACTCTCTCCTCAGACTCTCTCCTCAGACTCTCTCCTCAGACTCTCTCTCCTCAGACTCTCTCTCCTCAGACTCTCTCCTCAGACTTTCTCCTCAGACTCTCTCCTCAGACTCTCTCCTCAGACTCTCTCTCCTCAGACTCCTCAGACTCTCTCCTCAGACTCTCTCCTCAGTCTCTCTCCTCAGACTCTCTCCTCAGTCTCTCTCTCCTCAGACTCTCTCCTCAGACTCTCTCCTCAGACTCTCTCTCCTCAGACTCTCTCTCCTCAGACTCTCTCTCCTCAGACTCTCTCCTCAGACTCTCTCTCCTCAGACTCTCTCTCCTCAGTCTCTCTCCTCAGACTCTCTCTCCTCAGACTCTCTCTCCTCAGACTCTCTCTCCTCAGACTCTCTCCTCAGACTCTCTCTCCTCAGACTCTCTCCTCAGACTCTCTCTCCTCAGACTCTCTCCTCAGACTCTCTCCTCAGACTCTCTCCTTAGACTCTCTCTCCTCAGACTCTCTCTCCTCAGACTCTCTCCTCAGACTCTCTCTCCTCAGACTCTCTCTCCTCAGACTCTCTCCTCAGACTCTCTCCTCAGACTCTCTCTCCTCAGACTCTCTCTCCTCAGACTCTCTCTCGTCAGACTCTCTCTCCTCAGACTCTCTCCTCAGACTCTCTCCTCAGACTCTCTCTCCTCAGACTCTCTCCTCAGACTCTCTCTCCTCAGACTCTCTCTCCTCAGACTCTCTCTCCTCAGACTCTCTCCTCAGACTCTCTCTCCTCAGACTCTCTCTCCTCAGACTCTCTCTCCTCAGTCTCTCTCCTCAGACTCTCTCCTCAGACTCTCTCTCCTCAGACTCTCTCTCCTCAGTCTCTCTCTCCTCAGTCTCTGTCTCCTCAGACTCTCTCTCCTCAGACTCTCTCTCCTCAGACTCTCTCTCCTCAGACTCTCTCCTCAGACTCTCTCCTCAGACTCTCTCCTCAGACTCTCTCCTCAGACTCTCTCTCCTCAGACTCTCTCTCCTCAGACTCTCTCCTCAGACTCTCTCTCCTCAGACTCTCTCCTCAGTCTCTCTCTCCTCAGACTCTCTCCTCAGACTCTCTCCTCAGACTTTCTCCTCAGACTCTCTCCTCAGACTCTCTCCTCAGACTCTCTCTCCTCAGACTCCTCAGACTCTCTCCTCAGACTCTCTCCTCAGACTCCTCAGACTCTCTCCTCAGACTCTCTCTCCTCAGACTCTCTCCTCAGACTCTCTCTCCTCAGACTCTCTCCTCAGACTCTCTCTCCTCAGACTCTCTCCTCAGTCTCTCTCCTCAGACTCTCTCTCCTCAGACTCTCTCTCCTCAGACTCTCTCCTCAGACTCTCTCTCCTCAGACTCTCTCTCCTCAGACTCTCTCCTCAGACTCTCTCTCCTCAGACTCTCTCCTCAGACTCTCTCTCCTCAGACTCTCTCTCCTCAGACTCTCTCTCTCTCCTCAGACTCTCTCTCCTCAGACTCTCTCTCCTCAGACTCTCTCTCCTCAGACTCTCTCCTCAGACTCTCTCCTCAGTCTCTCTCTCCTCAGACTCTCTCCTCAGACTCTCTCTCCTCAGACTCTCTCCTCAGTCTCTCTCCTCAGACTCTCTCTCCTCAGACTCTCTCTCTCAGACTCTCTCCTCAGACTCTCTCTCCTCAGACTCTCTCCTCAGACTCTCTCTCCTCAGACTCTCTCTCCTCAGACTCTCTCCTCAGACTCTCTCTCCTCAGACTCTCTCTCCTCAGACTCTCTCCTCAGACTCTCTCTCCTCAGACTCTCTCCTCAGACTCTCTCTCCTCAGACTCTCTCTCCTCAGACTCTCTCTCCTCAGACTCTCTCTCCTCAGACTCTCTCTCCTCAGACTCTCTCTCCTCAGTCTCTCTCCTCAGACTCTCTCTCCTCAGACTCTCTCCTCAGACTCTCTCTCCTCAGACTCTCTCTCCTCAGACTCTCTCCTCAGACTCTCTCCTCAGACTCTCTCCTCAGACTCTCTCTCCTCAGACTCTCTCCTCAGACTCTCTCTCCTCAGACTCTCTCCTCAGACTCTCTCCTCCTCAGTCTCTCTCCTCAGACTCTCTCCTCAGACTCTCTCTCCTCAGACTCTCTCCTCAGACTCTCTCCTCAGACTCTCTCTCTCCTCAGACTCTCTCTCCTCAGACTCTCTCTCCTCAGTCTCTCTCCTCAGACTCTCTCTCCTCAGACTCTCTCTCCTCAGACTCTCTCTCAGACTCTCTCCTCAGACTCTCTCCTCAGACTCTCTCTCCTCAGACTCTCTCTCCTCAGACTCTCTCTCAGACTCTCTCTCCTCAGACTCTCTCTCCTCAGCCTCCTCAGACTCTCTCCTCAGACTCTCTCTCCTCAGACTCTCTCCTCAGTCTCTCTCCTCAGACTCTCTCTCCTCAGACTCTCTCTCCTCAGACTCTCTCTCCTCAGACTCTCTCCTCAGACTCTCTCCTCAGACTCTCTCCTCAGACTCTCTCCTCAGTCTCTCTCCTCAGACTCTCTCTCCTCAGACTCTCTCTCCTCAGACTCTCTCCTCAGACTCTCTCTCCTCAGACTCTCTCTCCTCAGACTCTCTCTCCTCAGACTCTCTCCTCAGACTCTCTCCTCAGACTCTCTCCTCAGACTCTCTCCTCAGACTCTCTCTCCTCAGACTCTCTCTCCTCAGACTCTCTCTCCTCAGACTCTCTCTCCTCAGACTCTCTCCTCAGACTCTCTCCTCAGACTCTCTCCTCAGACTCTCTCCTCAGACTCTCTCTCCTCAGACTCTCTCTCCTCAGACTCTCTCCTCAGACTTTCTCCTCAGACTCTCTCCTCAGACTCTCTCCTCAGACTCTCTCTCCTCAGACTCCTCAGACTCTCTCCTCAGACTCTCTCCTCAGTCTCTCTCCTCAGACTCTCTCCTCAGTCTCTCTCTCCTCAGACTCTCTCCTCAGACTCTCTCCTCAGACTCTCTCTCCTCAGACTCTCTCTCCTCAGACTCTCTCTCCTCAGACTCTCTCCTCAGACTCTCTCTCCTCAGACTCTCTCTCCTCAGTCTCTCTCCTCAGACTCTCTCTCCTCAGACTCTCTCTCCTCAGACTCTCTCTCCTCAGACTCTCTCCTCAGACTCTCTCTCCTCAGACTCTCTCCTCAGACTCTCTCTCCTCAGACTCTCTCCTCAGACTCTCTCCTCAGACTCTCTCCTTAGACTCTCTCTCCTCAGACTCTCTCTCCTCAGACTCTCTCCTCAGACTCTCTCTCCTCAGACTCTCTCTCCTCAGACTCTCTCCTCAGACTCTCTCCTCAGACTCTCTCTCCTCAGACTCTCTCTCCTCAGACTCTCTCTCTCAGACTCTCTCTCCTCAGACTCTCTCCTCAGACTCTCTCCTCAGACTCTCTCTCCTCAGACTCTCTCCTCAGACTCTCTCTCCTCAGACTCTCTCTCCTCAGACTCTCTCTCCTCAGACTCTCTCCTCAGACTCTCTCTCCTCAGACTCTCTCTCCTCAGACTCTCTCTCCTCAGTCTCTCTCCTCAGACTCTCTCCTCAGACTCTCTCTCCTCAGACTCTCTCCTCAGTCTCTCTCTCCTCAGTCTCTGTCTCCTCAGACTCTCTCTCCTCAGACTCTCTCTCCTCAGACTCTCTCTCCTCAGACTCTCTCCTCAGACTCTCTCCTCAGACTCTCTCCTCAGACTCTCTCCTCAGACTCTCTCTCCTCAGACTCTCTCTCCTCAGACTCTCTCCTCAGACTCTCTCTCCTCAGACTCTCTCCTCAGTCTCTCTCTCCTCAGACTCTCTCCTCAGACTCTCTCCTCAGACTTTCTCCTCAGACTCTCTCCTCAGACTCTCTCCTCAGACTCTCTCTCCTCAGACTCCTCAGACTCTCTCCTCAGACTCTCTCCTCAGACTCCTCAGACTCTCTCCTCAGACTCTCTCTCCTCAGACTCTCTCCTCAGTCTCTCGCTCCTCAGACTCTCTCCTCAGACTCTCTCTCCTCAGACTCTCTCCTCAGTCTCTCTCCTCAGACTCTCTCTCCTCAGACTCTCTCTCCTCAGACTCTCTCCTCAGACTCTCTCTCCTCAGACTCTCTCTCCTCAGACTCTCTCCTCAGACTCTCTCTCCTCAGACTCTCTCTCCTCAGACTCTCTCTCCTCAGACTCTCTCTCCTCAGACTCTCTCTCCTCAGACTCTCTCTCCTCAGACTCTCTCTCCTCAGACTCTCTCTCCTCAGACTCTCTCTCCTCAGACTCTCTCTCCTCAGTCTCTCTCCTCAGACTCTCTGATCAGACTCTCTCCTCAGACTCTCTCTCCTCAGACTCTCTCTCCTCAGACTCTCTCTCCTCAGTCTCTCTCCTCAGACTCTCTCCTCAGACTCTCTCCTCAGACTCTCTCTCCTCAGACTCTCTCCTCAGACTCTCTCTCCTCAGACTCTCTCCTCAGACTCTTTCCTCAGTCTCTCTCCTCAGACTCTCTCTCCTCAGACTCTCTCTCCTCAGACTCTCTCCTCAGACTCTCTCTCCTCAGACTCTCTCTCCTCAGACTCTCTCTCCTCAGACTCTCTCTCCTCAGACTCTCTCTCCTCAGACTCTCTCTCCTCAGACTCTCTCCTCAGTCTCTCTCCTCAGACTCTCTCTCCTCAGACTCTCTCCTCAGACTCTCTCCTCAGACTCTCTCTCCTCAGACTCTCTCCTCAGACTCTCTCTCCTCAGACTCTCTCCTCAGACTCTCTCTCCTCAGACTCTCTCTCCTCAGACTCTCTCTCCTCAGTCTCTCTCTCCTCAGTCTCTCTCCTCAGACTCTCTCCTCAGACTCTCTCTCCTCAGACTCTCACTCCTCAGACTCTCTCTCCTCAGTCTCTCTCTCCTCAGCTCTCTCTCCTCAGACTCTCTCCTCAGTCTCTCTCTCCTCAGTCTCTCTCTCCTCAGTCTCTCTCTCCTCAGTCTCTCTCTCCTCAGACTCTCTCTCCTCAGACTCTCTCTCCTCAGACTCTCTCCTCAGACTCTCTCCTCAGACTCTCTCTCTCCTCAGACTCTCTCTCCTCAGACTCTCTCCTCAGACTCTCTCCTCAGTCTCTCTCTCCTCAGACTCTCTCTCCTCAGACTCTCTCTCCTCAGACTCTTTCTCCTCAGACTCTTTCTCCTCAGACTCTCTCTCCTCAGACTCTCTCCTCAGACTCTCTCCTCAGTCTCCTCTCCTCAGTCTCTCTCTCCTCAGACTCTCTCTCCTCAGACTCTCTCTCCTCAGACTCTCTCCTCAGACTCTCTCTCCTCAGACTCTCTCTCCTCAGACTCTCTCTCCTCAGACTCTCTCTCCTCAGACTCTCTCCTCAGACTCTCTCCTCAGACTCTCTCTCCTCAGACTCTCTCTCCTCAGACTCTCTCTCCTCAGACTCTCTCTCCTCAGACTCTCTCCTCAGACTCTCTCAGACCTCTCTCTCTCCTCTCTCCTCAGACTCTCTCTCCTCAGACTCTCTCTCCTCAGACTCTCTCTCCTCAGACTCTCTCCTCAGACTCTCTCTCCTCAGACTCTCTCTCCTCAGACTCTCTCTCCTCAGACTCTCTCTCCTCAGACTCTCTCTCCTCAGACTCTCTCCTCAGACTCTCTCCTCAGACTCTCTCCTCAGACTCTCTCCTCAGACTCTCTCTTCTCAGACTCTCTCTTCTCAGACTCTCTCTCCTCAGACTCTCTCCTCAGTCTCTCTCCTCAGACTCTCTCCTCAGACTCTCTCCTCAGACTCTCTCCTCAGACTCTCTCCTCAGACTCTCTCTCCTCAGACTCTCTCTCCTCAGACTCTCTCTCCTCAGACTCTCTCTCCTCAGACTCTCTCTCCTCAGACTCTCTCTCCTCAGACTCTCTCCTCAGACTCTCTCCTCAGACTCTCTCCTCTGACTCTCTCCTCTGACTCTCTCTCCTCAGACTCTCTCTCCTCAGACTCTCTCTCCTCAGACTCTCTCTCCTCAGACTCTCTCCTCAGACCTCTCTCCTCAGTCTCTCTCCTCAGACTCTCTCTCCTCAGACTCTCTCTCCTCAGTCTCTCTCCTCAGACTCTCTCCTCAGACTCTCTCTCCTCAGACTCTCTCTCCTCAGACTCTCTCCTCAGACTCTCTCTCCTCAGTCTCTCTCCTCTGACTCTCTCTCCTCTGACTCTCTCTCCTCAGACTCTCTCTCCTCAGACTCACTCCTCAGACTCTCTCCTCAGACTCTCTCCTCAGTCTCTCTCTCCTCAGACTCTCTCCTCAGACTCTCTCTCCTCAGTCTCTCTCCTCAGACTCTCTCTCCTCAGACTCTCTCCTCAGACTCTCTCCTCAGACTCTCTCTCCTCAGACTCTCTCTCCTCAGACTCTCTCCTCAGACTCTCTCTCCTCAGACTCTCTCTCCTCAGACTCTCTCTCCTCAGACTCTCTCTCCTCAGACTCTCTCCTCAGACTCTCTCTCCTCAGACTCTCTCCTCAGACTCTCTCCTCAGACTCTCTCTCCTCAGACTCTCTCTCCTCAGACTCTCTCCTCAGACTCTCTCCTCAGACTCTCTCCTCAGACTCTCTCCTCAGACTCTCTCCTCAGACTCTCTCTCCTCAGACTCTCTCTCCTCAGACTCTCTCTCCTCAGACTCTCTCTCCTCAGACTCTCTCTCCTCAGACTCTCTCTCCTCAGACTCTCTCCTCAGACTCTCTCCTCAGACTCTCTCCTCAGACTCTCTCTCCTCAGACTCTCTCTCCTCAGACTCTCTCCTCAGACTCTCTCCTCAGACTCTCTCCTCAGACTCTCTCTCCTCAGACTCTCTCCTCAGACTCTCTCTCCTCAGACTCTCTCCTCAGACTCTCTCTCCTCAGACTCTCTCCTCAGACTCTCTCCTCAGACTCTCTCTCCTCAGACTCTCTCCTCAGACTCTCTCTCCTCAGACTCTCTCCTCAGACTCTCTCCTCAGACTCTCTCCTCAGACTCTCTCCTCAGACTCTCTCCTCAGACTCTCTCTCCTCAGACTCTCTCCTCAGATCTCTCTCCTCAGACTCTCTCCTCAGACTCTCTCTCTCTCCTCAGACTCTCTCCTCAGACTCTCTCCTCAGACTCTCTCTCCTCAGACTCTCTCCTCAGACTCTCTCCTCAGACTCTCTCCTCAGACTCTCTCTCCTCAGACTCTCTCTCCTCAGACTCTCTCCTCAGACTCTCTCTCCTCAGACTCTCTCCTCAGACTCTCTCCTCAGACTCTCTCCTCAGACTCTCTCCTCAGACTCTCTCTCCTCAGACTCTCTCCTCAGACTCTCTCCTCAGACTCTCTCCTCAGACTCTCTCTCCTCAGACTCTCTCTCCTCAGACTCTCTCCTCAGACTCTCTCTCAGACTCTCTCCTCAGACTCCTCTCTCCTCAGACTCTCTCCTCAGACTCTCTCTCCTCAGACTCTCTCTCCTCAGACTCTCTCTCCTCAGACTCTCTCTCAGACTCTCTCTCCTCTCTCCTCAGACTCTCTCTCCTCAGACTCTCTCTCCTCAGACTCTCTCTCCTCAGACTCTCTCTCCTCAGACTCTCTCTCCTCAGACTCTCTCCTCAGACTCTCTCTCCTCAGACTCTCTCTCCTCAGACTCTCTCTCCTCAGACTCTCTCTCCTCAGACTCTCTCTCCTCAGACTCTCTCTCCTCAGACTCTCTCTCCTCAGACTCTCTCTCCTCAGTCTCTCTCTCCTCAGTCTCTCTCTCCTCAGACTCTCTCTCCTCAGACTCTCTCTCCTCAGACTCTCTCTCCTCAGACTCTCTCAGACTCTCTCCTCAGACTCTCTCTTCTCAGATACTCTCTCCTCAGACTCTCTCCTCAGACTCTCTCTCCTCAGTCTCTCTCCTCAGTCTCTCTCCTCAGTCTCTCTCCTCTGACTCTCTCTCCTCAGACTCTCTCTCCTCAGACTCTCTCCTCAGACTCCTCTCTCTCCTCAGTCTCTCTCCTCAGTCTCTCTCCTCTGACTCTCTCTCCTCAGACTCTCTCTCCTCAGACTCACTCCTCAGACTCTCTCCTCAGACTCTCTCCTCAAACTCTCTCCTCAGACTCTCTCCTCAGACTCTCTCCTCAGTCTCTCTCCTCAGTCTCTCTCCTCAGACTCTCTCCTCAGACTCTCTCTCCTCTGACTCTCTCTCCTCAGACTCTCTCTCCTCAGACTCTCTCTCCTCAGACTCTCTCCTCAGACTCTCTCCTCAGACTCTCTCTCCTCAAACTCTCTCCTCAGACTCTCTCCTCAGTCTCTCTCCTCAGTCTCTCTCCTCAGTCTCTCTCCTCAGACTCTCTCCTCAGTCTCTCTCCTCAGTCTCTCTCCTCAGTCTCTCTCTCCTCAGACTCTCTCTCCTCAGACTCTCTCCTCAGACTCTCTCTCCTCAGACTCTCTCTCCTCAGACTCTCTCCTCAGACTCTCTCTCCTCAGACTCTCTCTCCTCAGACTCTCTCTCCTCAGACTCTCTCCTCAGACTCTCTCCTCAGACTCTCTCCTCAGACTCTCTCCTCAGACTCTCTCCTCAGACTCTCTCTCCTCAGACTCTCTCTCCTCAGACTCTCTCCTCAGACTCTCTCTCCTCAGACTCTCTCTCCTCAGACTCTCTCCCCAGACTCTCTACTCAGACTCTCTCCCCAGACTCTCTACTCAGACTCTCTCCTCAGACTCTCTCCTCAGACTCTCTCTCCTCAGACTCTCTCTCCTCAGACTCTCTCCTCAGACTCTCTCTCCTCAGACTCTCTCTCCTCAGACTCTCTCCTCAGACTCTCTCTCCTCAGACTCTCTCCTCAGACTCTCTCCTCAGACTCTCTCTCCTCAGACTCTCTCTCCTCAGACTCTCTCCTCAGACTCTCTCTCCTCAGACTTTCTCCTCAGACTCTCTCCTCAGACTCTTTCCGATGACTCTCTCTCCTCAGACTCTCTCCTCAGTCTCTCTCCTCAGACCTCTCTCCTCAGACTCTCTCTCCTCAGACTCTCTCTCCTCAGACTCTCTCCTCAGACTCTCTCTCCTCAGACTCTCTCCTCAGACTCTCTCTCCTCAGACTCTCTCCTCAGTCTCTCTCCTCAGACCTCTCTCCTCAGACTCTCTCTCCTCAGACTCTCTCTCCTCAGACTCTCTCCTCAGACTCTCTCTCCTCAGACTCTCTCTCCTCAGACTCTCTCCTCAGACTCTCTCTCCTCAGACTCTCTTCTCAGACTCTCTCCTCAGACTCTCTCCTCAGACTCTCTCCTCAGACTCTCTCCTCAGACTCTCTCCTCAGACTCTCTCTCCTCAGACTCTCTCTCCTCAGACTCTCTCCTCAGACTCTCTTCTCAGACTCTCTCCTCAGACTCTCTCCTCAGACTCTCTCTCTCCTCAGACCTCTCTCCTCAGACTCTCTCCTCAGACTCTCTCCTCACTCTCTCCTCAGACTCTCTCTCCTCAGACTCTCTCTCCTCAACTCTCTCTCCTCAGACTCTCTCTCCTCAGACTCTCTCTCCTCAGACTCTCTCTCCTCAGACTCTCTCTCCTCAGACTCTCTCTCCTCAGACTCTCTCTCCTCAGACTCTCTCTCCTCAGACTCTCTCTCCTCAGACTCTCTCTCCTCAGACTCTCTCTCCTCAGACTCTCTCTCCTCAGACTCTCTCCTCAGACTCTCTCTCCTCAGACTCTCTCTCCTCAGACTCTCTCCTCAGACTCTCTCTCCTCAGACTCTCTCCTCAGACTCTCTCTCCTCAGACTCTCTCTCCTCAGACTCTCTCTCCTCAGACTCTCTCTCCTCAGACTCTCTCTCCTCAGTCTCTCTCTCCTCAGTCTCTCTCTCCTCAGACTCTCTCTCCTCAGACTCTCTCTCCTCAGACTCTCTCCTCAGACTCTCTCTCCTCAGACTCTCTCTCCTCAGACTCTCTCCTCAGACTCTCTCTCCTCAGACTCTCTCTCCTCAGACTCTCTCCTCAGACTCTCTCCTCAGACTCTCTCCTCAGACTCTCTCTCCTCAGACTCTCTCCTCAGACTCTCTCTCCTCAGACTCTCTCTCCTCAGACTCTCTCTCCTCAGACTCTCTCTCCTCAGACTCTCTCTCCTCAGACTCTCTCTCCTCAGACTCTCTCTCCTCAGACTCTCTCCTCAGTCTCTCTCTCTCCTCAGACTCTCTCTCCTCAGACTCTTTCTCCTCAGACTCTTTCTCCTCAGACTCTCTCTCCTCAGACTCTCTCCTCAGACTCTCTCCTCAGTCTCTCTCCTCAGTCTCTCTCTCCTCAGACTCTCTCCTCAGACTCTCTCCTCAGACTCTCTCTCCTCAGACTCTCTCCTCAGACTCTCTCTCCTCAGACTCTCTCTCCTCAGACTCTCTCTCCTCAGACTCTCTCTCCTCAGACTCTCTCTCCTCAGACTCTCTCCTCAGTCTCTCTCCTCAGTCTCTCTCCTCTGACTCTCTCTCCTCAGACTCTCTCTCCTCAGACTCTCTCCTCAGACTCTCTCTCCTCAGTCTCTCTCCTCAGTCTCTCTCCTCTGACTCTCTCTCCTCAGACTCTCTCTCCTCAGACTCACTCCTCAGACTCTCTCCTCAAACTCTCTCCTCAGACTCTCTCCTCAGACTCTCTCCTCAGACTCTCTCTCCTCAGACTCACTCCTCAGACTCTCTCCTCAAACTCTCTCCTCAGACTCTCTCCTCAGACTCTCTCCTCAGTCTCTCTCCTCAGTCTCTCTCCTCAGACTCCTCCTCAGACGACTCTCTCTCCTCTGACTCTCTCTCCTCAGACTCTCTCTCCTCAGACTCTCTCTCCTCAGACTCTCTCCTCAGACTCTCTCCTCAGACTCTCTCTCCTCAAACTCTCTCCTCAGACTCTCTCCTCAGACTCTCTCCTCAGTCTCTCTCCTCAGTCTCTCTCCTCAGTCTCTCTCCTCAGACTCTCTCCTCAGTCTCTCTCCTCAGTCTCTCTCCTCTGACTCTCTCTCCTCAGACTCTCTCTCCTCAGACTCTCTCCTCAGCCTCACTCTCTCTCCTCAGACTCTCTCTCTCTCTCTCTCCTCCTCAGACTCTCTCTCCTCAGACTCTCTCTCCTCAGACTCTCTCTCTCTCTCCTCAGATCTCCTCCTCTCTCTCCTCAGACTCTCTCTCCTCAGACTCTCTCCTCAGACTCTCTCCTCAGACTCTCTCCTCTCTTCCTCAGACTCTCTCCTCAGACCTCTCTCTCCTCAGACTCTCCCCTCCTCAGACTCTCTCTCCTCAGTCTCTCTCTCTCTCCTCAGACTCTCTCTCCTCAGACTCTCTCTCCTCAGCTCTCTCTCCTCAGCTCTCTCCTCAGACTCTCTCTCCTCAGACTCTCTCCTCAGATCTCTCTCTCTCTCTCCTCAGACTCTCTCTCCTCAGACTCTCTCTCCTCAGACTCTCTACTCCTCAGACTCTCTCCTCAGACTCTCTCTCCTCAGACTCTCTCTCCTCAGACTCTCTCCTCAGACTCTCTCCTCAGACTCTCTCTCCTCAGACTCTCTCTCTCCTCAGACCTCTCTCCTCAGACTCTCTCCTCAGACTCTCTCTCCTCAGACTCTCTCTCCTCAGACTCTCTCTCCTCAGACTCTCTCTCCTCAGACTCTCTCTCCTCAGACTCTCTCCTCAGACTCTCTCCTCAGTCTCTCTCCTCAGACTCACTCCTCAGACTCTCTCTCCTCAGACTCTCTCTCCTCAGTCTCTCTCCTCAGTCTCTCTCTCCTCAGTCTCTCTCTCCTCAGACTCTCTCCTCAGTCTCTCTCCTCAGTCTCTCTCCTCAGTCTCTCTCCTCAGACTCTCTCCTCAGACTCTCTCTCCTCAGACTCTCTTTCCTCAGACTCTCTCTCCTCAGACTCTTTCTCCTCAGACTCTCTCTCCTCAGACTCTCTCCTCAGTCTCTCTCCTCAGTCTCTCTCCTCAGTCTCTCTCCTCAGACTCTCTCTCCTCAGACTCTCTCTCCTCAGACTCTCTCTCCTCAGACTCTCTCCTCAGACTCTCTCCTCAGACTCTCTCTTCTCAGACTCTCTCTCCTCAGTCTCTCTCCTCAGTCTCTCTCCTCAGTCTCTCTCCTCAGTCTCTCTCCTCTGACTCTCTCTCCTCAGACTCTCTCTCCTCAGACTCTCTCTCCTCAGACTCTCTCCTCAGACTCTCTCCTCAGTCTCTCTCTCCTCAGACTCTCTCCTCAGACTCTCTCTCCTCAGTCTCTCTCCTCAGACTCTCTCCTCAGACTCTCTCCTCAGACTCTCTCTCCTCAGACTCTCTCTCCTCAGACTCTCTCTCCTCAGACTCTCTTCTCAGACTCTCTCCTCAGACTCTCTCCTCAGACTCTCTCTCCTCAGACTCTCTCTCCTCAGACTCTCTCTCCTCAGACTCTCTCTCCTCAGACTCTCTCCTCAGACTCTCTCCTCAGACTCTCTCCTCAGACTCTCTCTCCTCAGACTCTCTCTCCTCAGACTCTCTCTCCTCAGACTCTCTCCTCAGACTCTCTCTCCTCAGACTCTCTCTCCTCAGACTCTCTCCTCAGACTCTTTCCGATGACTCTCTCCTTAGACTCTCTCCTCAGACTCTCTCCTCAGACTCTCTCTCCTCAGACTCTCTCTCCTCACTCTCTCCTCAGACTCTCTCCTCAGTCTCTCTCCTCAGACTCTCTCCTCAGACTCTCTCTCCTCAGACTCTCTCTCCTCAACTCTCTCCTCAGACTCTCTCTCCTCAGACTCTCTCCTCAGACTCTCTCTCCTCAGACTCTCTCTCCTCAAACTCTCTCCTCAGACTCTCTCCTCAGTCTCTCTCTCCTCAGACTCTCTCTCCTCAGACTCTCTCCTCAGACTCTCTCTCCTCAGACTCTCTCCTCAGACTCTCTCCTCAGACTCTCTCCTCAGACTCTCTCTCCTCAGACTCTCTCCTCAGACTCTCTCTCCTCACTCTCTCCTCAGACTCTCTCCTCAGACTCTCTACTCAGACCTCTCTCCTCAGACTCTCTCCTCAGACTCTCTCCTCAGACTCTCTCCTCAGACTCTCTCCTCAGACTCTCTCTCCTCAGACTCTCTCTCCTCAAACTCTCTCTCCTCAGACTCTCTCTCCTCAGACTCTCTCCTCAGACTCTCTCCTCAGACTCTCTCCTTGTTTATTCATAAATGATTAGTTGTTATGTGTCTTCAGCGTTTGTAAGCGCTGCATTAAAAAGATGGACCATCACTGTCCCTGGGTCAACAACTGTGTGGGAGAGAACAACCAGAAATACTTTGTGCTTTTCACTGTAAGTACTTCTTTAATATTTGCCACATTTTAATATTCATCTTCTCCAGAGACCAGTTTTATTTTCTGTGCAGATGTACATTGCTCTGATCTCCTTCCACGCTCTCACTTTGGCGGCCTTCCATTTTGTTTTCTGTTTTGAGCAAGACTGGGCGAGTAAGTCATCTCCGTTTGCAGCCATTCGTATAAAACAATTATAAACTTCTTTATCTCATGTAAAGTCTGAGTCGGAGTGATTCTTCAGTACATTAGAGTTGTGTTGTGTTCCTCAGAGTGCAGTAACTTCTCTCCTCCGGCCACTGTGATCCTGCTGATCCTGCTGTGCTTCGAGGGTCTCCTCTTCCTCATCTTCACCGCAGTCATGTTTGGGACTCAGGTCCACTCCATCTGCTCCGACGAGACGGTGAGTCTGTGTCTGTGGAGTCTGTGTCTGTGGAGTCTGTGTCTGTGGAGTCTGTGTCTGTGGAGTCTGTGTCTGTAGAGTCTGTGTCTGTGGAGTCTGTGTCTGTAGAGTCTGTGTCTGTGGAGTCTGTGTCTGTGGAGTCTGTGTCTGTGGAGTCTGTGTCTGTGGAGTCTGTGTCTGTGGAGTCTGTGTCTGTGGAGTCTGTGTCTGTGGAGTCTGTGTCTGTAGAGTCTGTGTCTGTGGAGTCTGTGTCTGTAGAGTCTGTCTGTGGAGTCTGTAGAGTCTGTGTCTGTAGAGTCTGTGTCTGTGGAGTCTGTGTCTGTGGAGTCTGTGTCTGTAGAGTCTGTGTCTGTGGAGTCTGTGTCTGTAGAGTCTGTGTCTGTGGAGTCTGTGTCTGTAGAGTCTGTCTGTGGAGTCTGTGTCTGTGGAGTCTGTGTCTGTAGAGTCTGTAGAGTCTGTGTCTGTGGAGTCTGTGTCTGTGGAGTCTGTGTCTGTGGAGTCTGTGTCTGTAGGGTCTGTGTCTGTGGAGTCTGTGTCTGTGGAGTCTGTGTCTGTGGAGTCTGTGTCTGTAGAGTCTGTGTCTGTAGAGTCTGTGTCTGTGGAGTCTGTGTCTGTGGAGTCTGTCTGTAGAGTCTGTGTCTGTGGAGTCTGTGTCTGTGGAGTCTGTGTCTGTGGAGTCTGTGTCTGTGGAGTCTGTGTCTGTTGAGTCTGTGTCTGTAGAGTCTGTGTCTGTAGAGTCTGTGTCTGTAGAGCCTGTGTCTGTGGAGTCTGTGTCTGTAGAGTCTGTGTCTGTGGAGTCTGTGTCTGTGGAGTCTGTGTCTGTAGAGTCTGTAGAGTCTGTGTCTGTAGAGTCTGTGTCTGTGGAGTCTGTGGAGTCTGTGTCTGTGGAGTCTGTGTCTGTGGAGTCTGTGTCTGTGGAGTCTGTGTCTGTGGAGTCTGTGTCTGTGGAGTCTGTGTCTGTGGAGTCTGTGTCTGTGGAGTCTGTGTCTGTGGAGTCTGTGTCTGTGGAGTCTGTGTCTGTAGAGTCTGTGTCTGTGGAGTCTGTGTCTGTGGAGTCTGTGTCTGTAGAGTCTGTGTCTGTGGAGTCTGTGTCTGTGGAGTCTGTGTCTGTGGAGTCTGTGTCTGTGGAGTCTGTCTGTAGAGTCTGTGTCTGTGGAGTCTGTGTCTGTGGAGTCTGTGTCTGTGGAGTCTGTGTCTGTGGAGTCTGTGTCTGTAGAGTCTGTGTCTGTAGAGTCTGTGTCTGTAGAGTCTGTGTCTGTGGAGTCTGTGTCTGTGGAGTCTGTGTCTGTGGAGTCTGTGTCTGTGGAGTCTGTCTCTGTGGAGTCTGTGTCTGTAGAGTCTGTGTCTGTAGAGTCTGTGTCTGTAGAGTCTGTGTCTGTAGAGTCTGTGTCTGTGGAGTCTGTGTCTGTAGAGTCTGTGTCTGTAGAGTCTGTGTCTGTAGAGTCTGTGTCTGTAGAGTCTGTGTCTGTAGAGTCTGTGTCTGTAGAGTCTGTGTCTGTAGAGTCTGTGTCTGTAGAGTCTGTCTGTAGAGTCTGTGTCTGTAGAGTCTGTGTCTGTAGAGTCTGTGTCTGTAGAGTCTGTGTCTGTAGGTCCTGTGTCTGTAGGGCCTGTGTCTGTGGAGTCTGTGTCTGTAGAGTCTGTGTCTGTAGAGTCTGTGGAGTCTGTGTCTGTAGAGTCTGTGTCTGTGGAGTCTGTGTCTGTAGAGTCTGTGTCTGTGGAGTCTGTGTCTGTAGAGTCTGTGTCTGTAGAGTCTGTAGTGTCTGTAGAGTCTGTGTCTGTGGAGTCTGTGTCTGTAGAGTCTGTGTCTGTAAAGTCTGTGTCTGTACTAGAGTCTGTAGAGTCTGTGTCTGTAGAGTCTGTGTCTGTAGAGTCTGTGTCTGTAGAGTCTGTGGAGTCTGTGTCTGTAGAGTCTGTGTCTGTGGAGTCTGTGTCTGTAGAGTCTGTGTCTGTAGTGTCTGTAGAGTCTGTGTCTGTGGAGTCTGTGTCTGTAGAGTCTGTGTCTGTAAAGTCTGTGTCTGTACTAGAGTCTGTAGAGTCTGTGTCTGTAGAGCCTGTGTGTGTAGAGTCTGTCTGTAGAGTCTGTCTGTAGAGTCTGTGGAGTCTGTGTCTGTAGAGTCTGTGTCTGTAGAGTCTGTGTCTGTAGAGTCTGTGTCTGTGGAGTCTGTGTCTGTAGAGTCTGTGTCTGTAGAGTCTGTAGTGTCTGTAGAGTCTGTGTCTGTGGAGTCTGTGTCTGTAAAGTCTGTGTCTGTGGAGTCTGTGTCTGTAGAGTCTGTGTCTGTAGAGTCTGTGTCTGTAGAGTCTGTGTCTGTAGAGTCTGTCTGTAGTCTGTGTCTGTAGAGTCTGTGGAGTCTGTGTCTGTAGAGTCTGTGTCTGTAGAGTCTGTGTCTGTGTCTGTAGAGTCTGTGTCTGTAGAGTCTGTGTCTGTAGAGTCTGTCTGTAGAGTCTGTGTCTGTAGAGTCTGTGTGTGTAGAGTCTGTGTGTGTAGAGTCTGTGTGTGTAGAGTCTGTGTCTGTAGAGTCTGTGTCTGTAGAGTCTGTGTCTGTAGAGTCTGTCTGTAGAGTCTGTGTCTGTAGAGTCTGTGTGTGTAGAGTCTGTGTCTGTAGAGTCTGTGTCTGTAGAGTCTGTGTCTGTAGAGTCTGTGTCTGTAGAGTCTGTGTCTGTAGAGTCTGTGTCTGTAGAGTCTGTGTCTGTAGAGTCTGTGTCTGTAGAGCCTGTGTCTGTAGAGTCTGTAGAGTCTGTGTCTGTAGAGTCTGTGAATGTGTCTGTGAATGTGTCTGTGAATGTGTCTGTGAATGTGTCTGTGAATGTGTCTGTGAATGTGTCTGTGTCTTCAGGGAATAGAGCAGCTGAAGAAGGAGGAGCGGCGTTGGGCGAAGAGGTCTCGGTGGATGAACCTGAAGGTGGTCTTCGGGCACCCGTTCTCCGTGTCTTGGCTCAGTCCCTTCGCGACCCCGGACCACGGCAAAGCCGACGTCTCGCAGTACATCGTGTGACGCACTCAAACACTATTTTCTTTATCTCTTGGTGTTGAACTGTAAACTTTTATCACGAATTATGTTTTTTCAAAGTCACTTTTTTATCGTTATTCCTGTTGCTGAGATTTGGGAACTTCTCAAACATTAAAATACTCTGGAAACAACTTTAATAATTAAAATAAAAATATAAAAGAATAGATTAACTCTACATAGGTATTTTATTTTATTAGTGAAAACAGTTTTATACGACGCTGTCAGACACATATCTCTGTAACGACCTCTTTTCATTGGATTCTAATTTCAGCTTTAACAGGTCTGATCTTAAACTAAGCAACAAAAGCAACAAAAGCAACAAAAGTGACTGAAGTTTCTCCAAAATGTCAAACCATTTCCAGGACGAATAATGTGAAAAGTCAGAGTCGGGTTCTGGATCCGTCTTCCATTTAAAAATCATTGGTCACAAACTGCTGAAGGAAAAACACGCCTTAGATGTTATGAATATGGGTCAGTGTTGCCTTAACGTGTCCAGACGTTACATTCTGGGTCAAAATCATTCAATATTGATATTTTCGTCGTGTTCAATGTTTTTTTAAACCTGGCATTTGTTCAACCAATTGTATCATTTAAAATCTGGGCCAGTGCTGTCGCTTCTTAGTGAGAAGGTTCTGGGTTCTTATCCATCTCCAGACGAGGCCTTTCTGAGTGGAGTTTGCATGTTCTCCCCGTGTCTGTGTAGGTTTCCTCCGAGTGCTCCGGTTTCCCCTGCCACTAAAAACATGTGCTATAGCTCCCCCTCTGGGACCAGGACTCACTCCTGAAACATAAATCTGTTTTTCTGATCAGCGGCGGAGTCTGCAAAGGATCATGTTTTAGTGAAATCGACTGTTTCCCAAAGACTGGAGTCGTTTTCTTCAAGAACATCACTGTTTTTACAGAGGATACAAAATGCCTGGTCTAACGTGTTCTCTCCATGACGCTGCTGCAGCCGCACCTGCTGCTTGAGTGCTCCATGAGTGAGAAAGACTGATCGTCGTAAACATCAGGGACAAAGACCCTTGTTGATGAGAAAGTGAACTGATCTCATCATGGGCCACGACCAACAATATTTCCATCCAGACTTTATGGATTATTCCAGTAAAATCAGATGGAAATCTACTCTTTTAAAAGCTGTGACATGAAAGTGTGAGATATTGTTAAACGAAGATAGAACCTGTTCCGTCCTCAGGATCAGAACTAAATGTGGATCATGAGGAACTTAAACATTATTTTAAAATGGCTTAAATCTAAGATCATTGTTTTGACCGTTTCTGCTTATTTTACAAGTTTACTTTCATTCACTTGATAAACAGTATTTCACTTGTTTGAGAGGAATGTGCTGAAAATGGTCAGAAAAATATTTTAAACACATTTTTCATTGTCTTGTTTCATGTTTTGAAAATAGTCAGAAACATTTGAAGCAATGAAATATTGTGGATCAGCAGAAAAGCTTTTTGAACGATCACAGTCTTCCTCAGAGTTTAGCAGTTTCAGAGCAGTTCCACCAAAAGAAGCAGAGCGACAGCGCCATCTGCTGGGGACAGGTGTGTGAGAGTAGAAAGGGCCCCTTGTCCTGGTTTATTGTCAGGGGCTTGTTTCCGTTAATTTGCCTCCTTGAAACATTACTAATGATTTATTACTATTCTTTCTGATTGGATCAGAGCTTTTCTAGTCAGAAATGACAATATCTATAATTTTAATATAGAACTATATTTCCATCGTAGTGTTTTAGCCGCAGGTTTCCTTTGTTGTCAGAGCAGCGCGACAAACTTTGTAAATCGATGGGTTTTGCTAAAAACCTTCAGATGCCTTTTTGTTCTGAAGCAGTGGCTGAAAACCGTTAAAACCGTTAGAAAAATGTCGTTCCTAAAGTTAAAACTCTGCTGAAAGTCCAAACGTAAAGAACGACGACACTTTTATTTCTGTATCGGGGCCTTTTCTCTGCGAGCCTTAGTCACGAAACACGAATGTCAAATTAGCTGATTTTCTTTTGGCCAAAAGAGTTTAAAGATGGATCAACAACTGAGAGTTTTCTAAAGAGTTTTAAAGATGCTGGACACACACCAGCTTTGTTGGTTTCTTTTATCCGAGTGTAATTGGTCTTATCTGGACACATTTGTGCTGATTGGCCAAAAATGTTGATTTTGTTTTTATCTGTTTGGGAATAAAGTATATGACACTGTACCTGAGGCTTTCTTATTTCATTATATAAATACCAACAATACTGTACAATATGAAGTGGTCTCAGAGGCTGAAGGTCCTGGACCATGGTCTCAGAGGCTGAAGGTCCTGGACCACGGTCTCAGAGGCTGAAGGTCCTGGACCACGGTCTCAGAGGCTGAAGGTCCTGGACCATGGTCTCAGAGGCTGAAGGTCCTGGACCATGGTCTCAGAGGCTGAAGGTCCTGGACCACGGTCTCAGAGGCTGAAGGTCCTGGACCACGGTCTCAGAGGCTGAAGGTCCTGGACCACGGTCTCAGAGGCTGAAGGTCCTGGACCATGGTCTCAGAGGCTGAAGGTCCTGGACCATGGTCTCGGGGCCTGAAGGTCCTGGACCACGGTCTCAGAAGCTGAAGGTCCTGGACCACGGTCTCAGAGGCTGAAGGTCCTGGACCACAGTCTCAGGGGCTGAAGGTCCTGGACCACGGTCTCAGAGGCTGAAGGTCCTGGACCACGGTCTCAGAGGCTGAAGGTCCTGGACCACGGTCTCAGAGGCTGAAGGTCCTGGACCACAGTCTCAGGGGCTGAAGGTCCTGGACCATGGTCTCAGAGGCTGAAGGTCCTGGACCATGGTCTCGGGGTCTGAAGGTCCTGGACCACGGTCTCAGAGGCTGAAGGTCCTGGACCACGGTCTCAGAGGCTGAAGGTCCTGGACCACTGTCTCAGGGGCTGAAGGTCCTGGACCACGGTCTCAGAGGCTGAAGGTCCTGGACCACGGTCTCAGAGGCTGAAGGTCCTGGACCACAGTCTCAGGGGCTGAAGGTCCTGGACCACGGTCTCAGAGGCTGAAGGTCCTGGACCATGGTCTCAGAGGCTGAAGGTCCTGGACCACGGTCTCAGGGGCTGAAGGTCCTGGACCATGGTCTCAGAGGCTGAAGGTCCTGGACCACAGTCTCAGGGGCTGAAGGTCCTGGACCATGGTCTCAGAGGCTGAAGGTCCTGGACCATGGTCTCGGGGCCTGAAGGTCCTGGACCACGGTCTCAGAGGCTGAAGGTCCTGGACCACGGTCTCAGAGGCTGAAGGTCCTGGACCACGGTCTCAGAGGCTGAAGGTCCTGGACCACAGTCTCAGAGGCTGAAGGTCCTGGACCACAGTCTCAGAGGCTGAAGGTCCTGGACCACGGTCTCAGAGGCTGAAGGTCCTGGACCACGGTCTCAGAGGCTGAAGGTCCTGGACCACGGTCTCAGAGGCTGAAGGTCCTGGACCACAGTCTCAGGGGCTGAAGGTCCTGGACCACGGTCTCAGAGGCTGAAGGTCCTGGACCACGGTCTCAGGGGCTGAAGGTCCTGGACCATGGTCTCAGAGGCTGAAGGTCCTGGACCACGGTCTCAGGGGCTGAAGGTCCTGGACCACGGTCTCAGAGGCTGAAGGTCCTGGACCACGGTCTCAGAGGCTGAAGGTCCTGGACCACGGTCTCAGAGGCTGAAGGTCCTGGACCACGGTCTCAGAGGCTGAAGGTCCTGGACCACGGTCTCAGGGGCTGAAGGTCCTGGACCACGGTCTCAGAGGCTGAAGGTCCTGGACCATGGTCTCAGAGGCTGAAGGTCCTGGACCATGGTCTCAGAGGCTGAAGGTCCTGGACCACGGTCTCAGGGGCTGAAGGTCCTGGACCATGGTCTCAGACTTCTTGACGACATCCACAAACATCAAACCAAACGATATAAACAAATGTAAATAATGAACCATTTGAGACACATTTGAAAAGATGTTTATTCGTCGTGATCTTCGCTGGAGACACTTCACAGTTTTCTGTTAACACCATTTATTTACATTTTACACATTTTCCATTAGATTCATGAGAGGATTTCATCAGTAAATATTTGGATTCGAAGCATCTGGCTTTGAATTATTTTAACGACTTCTGCTCTGACCGGAAATATAGAACTGTAAATATCAGTTTAATCTGACGCCCAGATTCTGATTGTGTTTACACTTGACTCCAAAGAACGGTTCTAGAGTTTGTTTCTGTTCAGATCGATTCAAAACCACTGACGACGAGTTTGACATTGGTTTGTTCTCGTCTCTGTGTTTTAAATGGACCCAGAGTCTGTCGTGAGTTTGATATAGATTGAATTAAAAACCTTAAGTCACAGTTATTATGTCTCCTTTCTCAGACCGTGCGCCTCATGCATTTGCTCGTTTAGTTTTTACAGTGTGTTGTTGGAGGTCGTGCTTCAGGCCGTGCTCCTGCAGAAGTTTGTGACCGAGACCAGGAAACAGAAACAGAACCAAAACATTGGGTAATGCTGCGGTCGCTTTGGAGTCGCCAGAAAGGTTTCAATCAAATCAAAATCACAGATGGAAAGGTTTCAAAATGCTAATGCTAATGTTAATGCTAATGCTGCTATCGTTACTAGTGTTGAACGGGCGCTAAGTATTTCTTCACATGTTGTTCCAGATTAAACATTAATTCAGTTTAATTCAAGTATTGATCTATTTTAATGTCACATCATTAGAATAAGATGTGACATTTGGTGTGACTGTGTCTCATTTAAAGCTGAGGTACCTAACTTTCTGTCCCCCAAAATTTAACTACGTATTTAAAAAATCCATGGAACAGATTCACATAAAATCACTAGTTTTCATGTATTTTTGTCACATCTGTAGATCAGTGAAAAAGAGAGGACCTCCCTCATTCAGCCAATCAGCTCTCAGCCCTAAGCGTCCAATCAGCTCTCAGCCCTAAGCGTCCAATCAGCTCTCAGCCCTAAGCGTCCAATCAGCTCTCAGCCCTAGGCGTCCAATCAGCTCTCAGCCCTAAGCGTCCAATCAGCTCTCAGCCCTAGGCGTCCAATCAGCTCTCAGCCCTAAGCGTCCAATCAGCTCTCAGCCCTAAGCGTCCAATCAGCTCTCAGCCCTAAGCGTCCAATCAGCTCTCAGCCCTAAGCGTCCAATCGTGAGTATGTTGTGGTCTAAGATTATACTTTAACACTCTCTTGTCTGTTTTTGGTCGAGTAACAGATAAATGTCAGTTCTTTTGGAAAATCCCATTTTGAGACAGAACCACTTGATCTTGGGCCGAGTGGTTCTGGGTCAAAACAATGCTCGATGCTGTCGTCTTGTTTCAGGCGATGATTCTTAAAGTTGGAGAAACCTTTTGATTGAGACATTTTAGACTCTGCTTCACACTTTCCAACCCACGAACACAGCACTTTTACTTCCTTTCATAATTAAATCCATCTTAAATCCCTCGGTAACATATCCACAAAGTCACATTCACAGGATCTACAATAAAACACGAGACTCGACAGCGGCTGGAAGCACGAGGTCCCGGTGCGTCGCTACGTTATGCACTTAGTCTGATATGTACGAAGGTAATCCACCCAGGCCCTGTGCTCAGGCCCGCGGCCCCTGTGCTCAGGCCCGGTGCTCAGGCCTGGGTCCCTGTGCTCAGGCCCGCGGTCCCTGTGCTCAGGCCCGGTGCTCAGGCCCGCGGTCCCTGTGCTCAGGCCTGGGTCCCTGTGCTCAGGCCCGCGGTCCCTGTGCTCAGGCCCGGTGCTCAGGCCCGCGGTCCCTGTGCTCAGGCCTGGGTCCCTGTGCTCAGGCCCGCGGTCCCTGTGCTCAAGCCTGGGTCCCTGTGCTCAGGCCCGCGGTCCCTGTGCTCAGGCCTGGGTCCCTGTGCTCAGGCCTGGGTCCCTGTGCTCAGGCCTGGGTCCCTCTGACACGGTTGGGTCGGCAGCACCACGTCACAGTGATATGAGATGTTTTTGTGGCTACATTTCTCCCGGCCCCAGATGTCGTCTAAACAAACACAGCTGAAGTGAGTGTATCATTCTCTGAACTAAACGCTGTGACTTTTTTCAAATGTTTTTTGTGCAAAATGTATTATTTTGACTCTGGGACAGTGTCAGACTGGTGAACGAGTCGTTCAGCGGTGAAACACCTCCACATTAAATCCTGTTGTTTCTCTGCAACAAAACAACATGAAAACCTGCGGCTTATTTTCAAGTGTGGACAACATGGATTTTCTTTTCGAATGTAGGTGATGCGCTTAAAAACAAGTGCCTTAAAGTCCAGAAAGTACGGTTTGTTAAGATTAAGAAATGATTATTATTGTTCAAATATTCAAAGAGTGACCAACTGTTTGTGCCATTGTTGTTCTGACGTCCCTTTGTTTCTGCGCCGAACGTCGATTACTTTGACCTAATCTTTGACACATGCATGATTCAGTGGGCAGGCATTTTGGCACAAATGTAACACATAAGAGTGGAGTTTTGCTCAGAGAATATACACAGTATTTGAAAGTATATGTACATATATTTATCGCAGGTGTTTTAACAGGTCACAACATGATTTAAAGAGGTCTAAATGCACTGCTGATGGATCAAAGCAAGTTTAGTGTCAAAATAAACTGGTAACTTCAGTCTTTTTCTACAATAAAGGTGTTTCCTATTCCTACTAAAACTTAAAAGTCAAAATAATAAGACCATAATGCCTGACTATAGTCCTAATCAGAACAAGTGTTTCTGCTGTTGAGACTAACTACTGACAGAGCTGTTCTCCGGCACCGCTCAAACAAATAAAAATACTGCTGTCTCCTGTCGCTCACAGAGAGTGCAGAAGTTTATAAAGTAGTGGTTTAAAGTTTAAAGTCTCTGATTAAGCACAATATATATTTATAACAGGTTAAAATAGAACTGACTTCTTTCTATCAAAAGGCTCAGATTTGAAGTATGAATGAAACTCTCAGTGCTACATCAACATTAGACCTCGAGCGTTGAGGATTTTCTGGCCTGAGATTTTCCACAAATCTACTTCATTTGAACTTTATCTTCTGTGAATCTTTCTGAGCAGCTGCGTCGGAGAATAAGGGTTTTCAGTGTGTTTTAAAGCAACGCATGCATAAAACCAGTCCGAGACAGATCCACAGTGAGACCTGTGGGAGATCTCAGACTAAACAAAAGCAGGAGGAGGATGAAGAAGAGGAGGATGAGGTCAGCTGCCGGGAACGGGATCGACACAAACTTCAATCCATCAACAAAAGGACAGTGATGTGTATTAGTTCTTCAGTTCTGTGTGAAGCTCAGAGCGGTTCCTCAGACTTTGTCTCCACGGCTCAGACTGAACATGTTTAAAACATTATGATCCAGACTCAAAATGTGGTGAAATAATCAACTTTTAAGATGAATGAAAAAGAATGTAAAAACTCAACAGTGATCGCCCACTTCCAAAACCCAAACCTCCATCTTTGACATCTTTGACTTTGATCGTCCTAATACTTATGTTTATGTGACTAGGGCTCGCTGTGTGTAGGGTCAGGGTTATGTTAATGTGACTAGGGCTCGCTGTGTGTAGGGTGAGGGTTATGTTAATGTGACTAGGGCTCGCTGTGTGTAGGGTCAGGGTTATGTTTATGTGACTAGGGCTCGCTTTGTGTAGGGTCAGGGTTATGTTTATGTGACTAGGGCTCGCTGTGTGTAGGGTCAGGGTTATGTTTATGTGACTAGGGCTCGCTGTGTGTAGGGTCAGGGTTATGTTTATGTGACTAGGGCTCGCTGTGTGTAGGGTCAGGGTTATGTTTATGTGACTAGGGCTCGCTGTGTGTAGGGTCAGGGTTATGTTTATGTGACTAGGGCTCACTGTGTGTAGGGTCAGGGTTATGTTTATGTGACTAGGGCTCGCTGTGTGTAGGGTCAGGGTTATGTTTATGTGACTAGGGCTCGCTTTGTGTAGGGTCATGGTTATGTGCTGTGTGTGCTTCAGTCTGAGCCGGTGGAGACAGAGCCTACTAGTCCTCCCTCTTGTCGTCGGTGTTGGCGGTCGGCTCCTGCGGTGAGGCTCGGTGGAGAACCAGGACCCCCGTGAAGGTGAGAGAGATGCCCACCCACCACAGCGTCATCTGGGCCTCGCCGAAGATCAGCTGCCCCAGAAATGCCTGCAGCAAACACACATGTTTTATCACTTCATCAAAAACTAAGCTTTCCGTTCGGTAACAAGATGAATGTTCAACCAAGACAGGTTTAAATCAGACATTAGAGCCATGATTATATTCAGGTTCACAGCAGCAGTGGAAATGTTTATGTAACGCTCAGGTCACTTTGAAAGCACAACAAATTAACTATTCAATAAAACTTCCAAGCTCTTACATGTATGTCCATGTGCATGTGCATGTACGTGCATGTGCATGTATGTCCATGTGCATGTGCATGTATGTGCATGTATGTCCATGTGCATGTGCATGTACGTGCATGTGCATGTATGTCCATGTGCATGTATGTCCCTGTGCATGTATGTCCCTGTGCATGTATGTCCATGTGCATGTATGTCCCTGTGCATGTATGTCCCTGTGCATGTATGTCCATGTGCATGTATGTCCCTGTGCATGTATGTCCATGTGCATGTATGTCCCTGTGCATGTATGTCCCTGTGCATGTATGTCCCTGTGCTTGTATGTGCATGTGCATGTATGTCCCTGTGCATGTATGTCCATGTGCATGTATGTGCATGTGCATGTATGTGCATGTGCATGTATGTCCATGTGCATGTATGTCCCTGTGCATGTATGTCCCTGTGCATGTATGTGCATGTATGTGCATGTACGTGCATGTGCATGTATGTCCATGTGCATGTACGTGCATGTGCATGTATGTCCATGTGCATGTATGTCCATGTGCATGTATGTCCCTGTGCATGTATGTCCCTGTGCATGTATGTCCATGTGCATGTATGTCCATGTGCATGTATGTGCATGTACGTGCATGTGCATGTATGTCCATGTGCATGTATGTCCATGTGCATGTACGTCCATGTGCATGTACGTCCATGTGCATGTATGTCCATGTGCATGTATGTCCATGTGCATGTATGTGCATGTGCATGTATGTGCATGTATGTCCATGTGCATGTATGTGCATGTATGTCCATGTGCATGTATGTCCATGTGCATGTATGTGCATGTGCATGTACGTGCATGTATGTCCATGTGCATGTATGTCCATGTGCATGTATGTGCATGTGCATGTATGTCCATGTGCATGTATGTCTATGTGCATGTACGTGCATGTGCATGTACGTGCTTGTATGTCCATGTGCATGTATGTCCATGTGCATGTATGTCCATGTGCATGTATGTCCATGTGCATGTATGTGCATGTGCATGTATGTGCATGTGCATGTATGTGCATGTGCATGTATGTCCATGTGCATGTATGTCCATGTGCATGTATGTCCATGTGCATGTATGTCTATGTGCATGTATGTGCATGTGCATGTACGTGCATGTGCATGTATGTCTATGTGCATGTATGTCTATGTGCATGTATGTGCATGTGCATGTATGTCCATGTGCATGTATGTCTATGTGCATGTATGTGCATGTGCATGTATGTGCATGTGCATGTATGTCTATGTGCATGTATGTCTATGCGCATGTATGTGCATGTGCATGTATGTGCATGTGGCAGATAAGTGAATGTTTTACCGATGGACCGTGTTATATTGTGTCCTTGTAAAAGAATAATAATAATAATAATGATTTTACTCACGGAAGAGACAAAGTTGGAGGCGGTGGTGGTCACAGTGGTTTGGGCCGAGGAAGAGGAGTTCCTGAAAACAGCGTCCAGTTTAAAATCTAAAAACTGTAGTATTTAGTCCAACTATCATAAACATTTATCATATGTGTTTTTATATTATAATTATTCTTGATCTTGACTTTACCTGAGAGCTTTGGCCAGAAAAGTCCACATCACAGCGTTACAGGTGAAGAGCAGCCCCCCACAGAGCAGCCGCAGAGGAATGTGCAGCTGCGGAAAAAATAACTTTATTTATCTGTCGACGACGAAAGACAAATCCTCTTTTAAGGAGTATTTTGTTGTGATTAAGCAGTACTGGCTTCTTTATCCTTAACCTTTGACCTGACCAGACAGAAACACCTGCACATGTGTCTGTTCATCTGAATATGTTTGAGCCTCAAGGTCGAGGGTTCCATCCCATCACGAGACCTTCTCCACCGATGCTGTGGTTGTGTCCTTGGGCAAGACACTTAACCCCACTTAGCCTGAAGCTCCCAGTGAAAGGTCAAGGCTGTGTCACTGACAGAGCAGCAGGGATCAGTGACTGTGACTGCCACCACCACCCAGAAATGGATCAAGGGGAAGAAGATGGTATTGGAATCAAGAGACAAGTTCAAGTTCTGTCACTGTCACAGACTGAAACTGTCACAGACTGAAACTGACACAGACTGAAACTGTCACAGACTGAAACTGACACAGACTGAAACTGACACAGACTGAAACTGTCACAGACTGAAACTGACACAGACTGAAACTGTCACAGACTGAAACTGTCACAGACTGAAACTGTCACAGACTGAAGCTGTCACAGACTGAAACTGTCACAGACTGAAACTGTCACAGACTGAAACTGTCACAGACTGAAACTGTCACAGACTGAAACTGTCACAGACTGAAGCTGTCACAGACTGAAGCTGTCACAGACTGAAACTGTCACAGACTGAAACTGACACAGACTGAAACTGTCACAGACTGAAACTGTCACAGACTGAAACTGACACAGACTGAAACTGACACAGACTGAAACTGTCACAGACTGAAACTGTCACAGACTGAAACTGTCACAGACTGTCACTGACACAGACTGTCACTGACACAGACTGAAGCTGTCACAGACTGAAACTGACACAGACTGAAACTGACACAGACTGAAACTGTCACAGACTGAAACTGTCACAGACTGAAACTGTCACAGACTGAAACTGTCACAGACTGAAACTGTCACAGACTGAAACTGTCACAGACTGAAGCTGTTACAGACTGAAACTGACACAGACTGAAACTGTCACAGACTGAAACTGTCACAGACTGAAACTGTCACAGACTGAAACTGTCACAGACTGAAACAGACACAGACTGAAACTGTCACAGACTGAAACTGACACAGACTGAAACTGTCACAGACTGAAACTGTCACAGACTGAAACTGTCACAGACTGAAACTGTTACAGACTGAAACTGTCACAGACTGAAACTGTCACAGACTGAAACTGTCACAGACTGAAACTGTCACAGACTGAAACTGTCACAGACTGAAACTGTCACAGACTGAAACTGACACAGACTGAAGCTGTCACAGACTGAAACTGTCACAGACTGAAACTGTTCACAGACTGAAACTGACACAGACTGAAACTGTCACAGACTGAAACTGACACAGACTGAAACTGTCACAGACTGAAACTGTCACAGACTGAAACTGTCACAGACTGAAGCTGTCACAGACTGAAACTGTTACAGACTGAAACTGTCACAGACTGAAACTGTCACAGACTGAAGCTGTCACAGACTGAAACTGTTACAGACTGAAACTGTCACAGACTGAAACTGTCACAGACTGAAACTGACACAGACTGAAACTGTCACAGACTGAAACTGACACAGACTGAAACTGTCACAGACTGAAACTGTCACAGACTGAAGCTGTCACAGACTGAAACTGTCACAGACTGAAACTGTCACAGACTGAAACTGACACAGACTGAAACTGTCACAGACTGAAGCTGTTACAGACTGAAACTGACACAGACTGAAACTGACACAGACTGAAACTGTCACAGACTGAAACTGACACAGACTGAAACTGTCACAGACTGAAGCTGTTACAGACTGAAACTGACACAGACTGAAACTGTCACAGACTGAAACTGACACAGACTGAAACTGTCACAGACTTCAACTGTCACAGACTGAAACTGACACAGACTGAAACTGTCACAGACTGAAACTGTCACAGACTGAAACTGTCACAGACTGAAGCTGTCACAGACTGAAACTGTCACAGACTGAAACTGTCACAGACTGAAACTGTCACAGACTGAAACTGTCACAGACTGAAGCTGTCACAGACTGAAGCTGTCACAGACTGAAACTGTCACAGACTGAAACTGACACAGACTGAAACTGTCACAGACTGAAACTGACACAGACTGAAACTGACACAGACTGAAACTGTCACAGACTGAAACTGTCACAGACTGAAACTGTCACAGACTGTCACTGACACAGAACTGAAGCTGTCACAGACTGAAACTGACACAGACTGAAACTGACACAGACTGAAACTGTCACAGACTGAAACTGTCACAGACTGAAACTGTCACAGACTGAAACTGTCACAGACTGAAACTGTCACAGACTGAAACTGTCACAGACTGAAACAGACACAGACTGAAACTGTCACAGACTGAAACTGACACAGACTGAAACTGTCACAGACTGAAACTGTCACAGACTGAAACTGTCACAGACTGAAACTGTTACAGACTGAAACTGTCACAGACTGAAACTGTCACAGACTGAAACTGTCACAGACTGAAACTGTCACAGACTGAAACTGTCACAGACTGAAACTGTCACAGACTGAAACTGTCACAGACTGAAACTGACACAGACTGAAGCTGTCACAGACTGAAACTGTCACAGACTGAAACTGTCACAGACTGAAACTGACACAGACTGAAACTGTCACAGACTGAAACTGACACAGACTGAAACTGTCACAGACTGAAACTGTCACAGACTGAAACTGTCACAGACTGAAGCTGTCACAGACTGAAACTGTTACAGACTGAAACTGTCACAGACTGAAACTGTCACAGACTGAAGCTGTCACAGACTGAAACTGTTACAGACTGAAACTGTCACAGACTGAAACTGTCACAGACTGAAACTGACACAGACTGAAACTGTCACAGACTGAAACTGACACAGACTGAAACTGTCACAGACTGAAACTGTCACAGACTGAAACTGACACAGACTGAAACTGTCACAGACTGAAGCTGTTACAGACTGAAACTGACACAGACTGAAACTGACACAGACTGAAACTGTCACAGACTGAAACTGACACAGACTGAAACTGTCACAGACTGAAACTGTCACAGACTGAAACTGTCACAGACTTCAACTGTCACAGACTGAAACTGTCACAGACTGAAACTGTTACAGACTGAAACTGACACAGACTGAAGCTGTCACAGACTGTCACTGACACAGACTGAAACTGTCACAGACTGAAGCTGTCACAGACTGAAACTGACACAGACTGAAACTGTCACAGACTGAAACTGTCACAGACTGAAACTGTCACAGACTGAAACTGACACAGACTGAAACTGTCACAGACTGAAACTGTCACAGACTGAAACTGTCACAGACTGAAACTGTCACAGACTGAAACTGTCACAGACTGAAACTGTCACAGACTGAAACTGACACAGACTGAAACTGACACAGACTGAAACTGTGTCTGATCTACGCTGCTTAAAGATATTAAGTATGTCCTTGTAGCTGTAGCACATTCTACATACAACCATTATTATTATTGCAATATAATATTTCTCCTCAAAACATGGGTTAAGGTTAAGGTCATGTGACTTCATGATTATAAAGTCATGGAATCACTGCAGTTTTGAAAATGAACACATATAGAGTAGATAAATGAACACATATAGAGTAGATAAATGAACACATATAGAGTAGATAAATGAACACATATAGAGTAGATAAATGAACACATATAGAGTAGATAAATGAACACACATAGAGTAGATAAATGAACACACATAGAGTAGATAAATGAACACACAGAGTAGATAAATGAACACATATAGAGTAGATAAATGAACACGTATAGAGTGGATAAATGAACACATATAGAGTAGATAAATGAACACGTATAGAGTAGATAAATGAACACGTATAGAGTAGATAAATGAACACACATAGAGTAGATAAATGAACACGTATAGAGTAGATAAATGAACACGTATAGAGTGGATAAATGAACATGTATAGAGTAGATAAATGAACACATAGAGTAGATAAATGAACATGTTTATGTAAACGTGTGAACACATGTTTTTACAGAACAGTTGTGTGTATTATAAATGTATATCTGGAGAAACTCGTCTAAGCTGGAGCTGCCTGTGGTAAGAGCTCTGTCTGGTGCCCCCTGGGGACTCTTGCACAGTTATTCCAATGTGGTTTTACTGCAAATGACATAAACTGAATCTTGAATCTTGAGCTTTCCTTTCCTCTCACAGACAAAGATGTAAGTATTGCTGAGCCACTGCGATAATGTTGATGTGTTCATTGTATTCTTATTAAAAATCATAATGTTAATGATCACTGTTACAGTGGTGTCGCGGGGGCTGATGAGGGTGACCCCACTGGCGCGTGTGACGGACAACTGCGTGCTGACGTCACCGTGACGTGAGTAAGAAACCCAAGGTCACTTGGTTTTCAAACCGGTCCCGTTCACTCTGTATAGTCTGTACTCAAACATGTCAGACACAGACTCAGAAGGACCAGTCTGTGGTCCTTCGTGGTCCGGTCCTTCTCTGTGGTCTGTGGTCAGAGAAGGACCGGTCCGTGGTCAGAGAAGGACCGGTCCGTGGTCAGAGAAGGACCGGTCCGTGGTCAGAGAAGGACCGGTCCGTGGGCAGAGAAGGACCGGTCCGTGGTCAGAGGGTCAGTGCTGATGCTGACAGTGATGAGGATCCTGAGCCTCGTGTGTCTCAGCATCATCATCACTTCCATCATCATCGTCATCACCACCCTCCTCTTCCTCCTCTTCCTCCTCTTCCTCTCCTCTCACTCACCCTGTCACATGCAGAGGTCTCGTCCGCATGTCTGAAGCGCCGTTGCTCGCCCCATGTCCGCAGCCCGCTCTCACAAACGCCCTTCAGATAGTCCGCTCCCAGAGACAGTTTGGCCGAAGACGAAGCCACGGCCCCGAGAAAACCCGCCAGCAGCGCGTACACGACCCCCGGCACCATGACGAAGAGCGGGGAGCATCCTCTTCCTGCTCCGCCTCAGTACAACCTCATCCCGGTGTGAGAGCTGCTGCTGTGCCCGCTCTGCTGCACTACTGCCCACGGCCGACAGGGGGCAGGCACGACGCGGCTCTCACTGTAGCAATGCAGAGGCTGAGCTGCACTGTGGCATTCTGGGAAATGTAGTGTAGAAACATGTTTACGCACAAGCGTCATCATCAATCAATCAATCAATCAACGTTTATTTGTAGAGCGCCTTTCCTACACAAGGCAACGCAAAGCGCTTCACATCCCCTATCACATCATGCATAAATCAAACACATTAAGAGCACAAGATATATTAAAAACATTAAAAAATCACAAAAATTAAAAACCTTTAAACATTAAAATCACAGATGGGACTAAAATCATAAATAGTCACAGTGCATTAAAAAGATTAAAGATAAAAACAAAGATGAAAAGATAAAATCATTCAGTTGTATATGCGCAGCTAAACAGAATTGTTTTGAGCCTAGATTTAAAAGATGCCAGAGTAGACGCCTGTCTCACATTCTCAGGAAGACGGTTCCAGACTCTAGCCGCATGAATCTGAAATGCAGTTTGCCCATGTCTAGTACCGACTCTGGGCACTAACAGGAGTCCAGTCCCTGTGCTCCTCAGAGTCCGGGTCGGTTCATATGGCACAAACATGTCATGGATGTACCTTGGCGCGAGACCATGGAGAGACTTGTACACAAGTAAAGCTGCTTTGAAGTCTATTCTCTGAGGAACAGGAAGCCAGTGCAGAGACCTGAGAACTGGACTAATGTGGTCGTACTTCCTAGTTCTGGTCAGGACTCGAGCTGCTGCATGTTGAATGTACTGCAGCTGTTTTACAGCCTGTTTGGAGAGACCTGTGAGCAGGCCATTGCAATAGTCTAACCGACTGGAGACAAAAGCGTGTATAAGAGTCTCCAAGTCTGCCTTAGACACTATGTTTTTAATTTTAGCAATGTTTTTTAGGTGGTAATAAGCTGCTGATGTTACAGATTTTATGTGGCTTTTGAAATTTAAGTCTGAGTCCATTATCACTCCTAGATTTCTGACCATCATCATCACTAAGCAAATGTGCACCAGTCTTATTTACTTTTAATTATAAAAAAGAACAGGGTTCAACTCCTCAGTCCAAGGATAGAATCGTTGTGAAGCAGTAAATGTACTAAACAATGTTTTTTTATGAACTGTAACAAGTAAACTTATAAATCCAAATCTGAAAGAAACACTATGAAGTAAAGTGATCTTTATTTAGTGATCTGTGATAAAGGCCTGGACTATTGTTTATTCTTTATGTGATTGTATGGGTTTTAACTGTGAGAAATGATATATATATATATATATATATATATCATGTATGTAGCTCCAGTGTCAGTTTTTCTCTGTGATGTTTCCAGCCCAATGGCTTTTGTTGAAGTGAGATCATTTCTCTATATTTCCTTCTTGGAAACAAATGTCAGAAATCCAGTGGGCTCATTATCTTCCAGCACTGATGTCAGGTTATTATATGAACTTTAATGAGTCTGAGCTGCTGTTCTTAAGAGCCTTAATGGACCTTAATGGACCTGTCACCTCCTCCACAGTCGGGGAAACCAGGACATGTTCTCTGTCCGACCTTTAACCTCACAGAAAACTGGAATCGTCATTGGTCCAAGACTGTAACACTTTCTCTGGAGTCAGATGGCAACGGTTTTGTGGATAAAAATGAACATTGACAATGACATTTCTTAAATTTTTCAAACAAAGATTAACCATTAAAAGTCCTTTTTTAAGATAAGACAATAGTCTATCAGTAATAGTGACTTTCCACAAGTCCATCAGTAAATGAAGTCTGTGAAAGTCCATGTGGCCCACGGCTCATCGGCCAAAAGCTGTTACTACATGAGGAGTGGATGCAATGAGGTTTAAAAAGTGGGCCATATGGCAGACAGATGTATGTTCCTGAGTCTGCAGACGTTACCTGTGAAGGAGAGTACCCAGAATGCATCTGTGTGGAGCAGCTCTGAGCTCAGGGTCAACCGCCTCCATTCAGTCCATTACACAGTTATGGCAGAGATCGTTGGAAACATTCTCAGGCTTTGGTGTTTTGACTCTTATGGTCTAAGCACCGGAGCAGCCTCTACATCCTGATGTCTGAGGAGGCAGTGGAGCCGTGTGGGAAATGTTTCTCCATGAGACTGGACTAATCTTGGTTCTTTTGGCTCAGGCCAATCTGATGGAGCTGGGGCCACGTCAGCAAAAACAACACAAGGTCAGCAATGTCTCTGTCACAGCGAGGGCTCCGTGTGACCAGGAAGACCCAGTGTCTGACGCCTGTGGACTATTACAGAGCAAACCAATCATGCTCGTGGCGTCTGTATACTGCAGCTGTATGTTATGGCGTCTGTATACTACAGCTGTATGTTATGGCGTCTGTATACTACAGCTGTCTGTTATGGCGTCTGTATACTACAGCTGTATGTTATGGCGTCTGTATACTGCAGCTGTATGTTATGGCGTCTGTATACTACAGCTGTATGTTATGGCGTCTGTATACTACAGCTGTATGTTATGGCGTCTGTATACTACAGCTGTCTGTTATGGCGTCTGTATACTACAGCTGTCTGTTATGGCGTCTGTATACTACAGCTGTCTGTTATGGCGTCTGTATACTGCAGCTGTCTGTTATGGCGTCTGTATACTACAGCTGTCTGTTATGGTGTCTGTATACTACAGCTGTCTGTTATGGCGTCTGTATACTACAGCTGTATGTTATGGCGTCTGTATACTGCAGCTGTATGTTATGGCGTCTGTATACTACAGCTGTATGTTATGCCGTCTGTATACTACAGCTGTATGTTATAGCGTCTGTATACTGCAGCTGTCTCTTATGGTGTCTGTATACTGCAGCTGTCTGTTATGGCGTCTGTATACTGCAGCTGTCTGTTATGGCGTCTGTATACTACAGCTGTCTGTTATGGCGTCTGTATACTACAGCTGTCTGTTATGGCGTCTGTATACTACAGCTGTATGTTATGGCGTCTGTATACTACAGCTGTATGTTATGGCGTCTGTATACTACAGCTGTATGTTATGGTGTCTGTATACTACAGCTGTATGTTATGGCGTCTGTATACTGCAGCTGTCTCTTATGGCGTCTGTATACTGCAGCTGTCTGTTATGGCGTCTGTATACTACAGCTGTCTGTTATGGCGTCTGTATACTACAGCTGTATGTTATGGCGTCTGTATACTGCAGCTGTATGTTATGGCGTCTGTATACTACAGCTGTATGTTATGGCGTCTGTATACTACAGCTGTCTGTTATGGCGTCTGTATACTACAGCTGTCTGTTATGGCGTCTGTATACTACAGCTGTCTGTTATGGCGTCTGTATACTACAGCTGTATGTTATGGCGTCTGTATACTACAGCTGTATGTTATGGCATCTGTATACTACAGCTGTATGTTATGGTGTCTGTATACTACAGCTGTATGTTATGGCGTCTGTATACTACAGCTGTATGTTATGGCGTCTGTATATACTATGTTATGGCGCTGCTGTATGTTATGGCGTCTGTATACTACAGCTGTATGTTATGGCGTCTGTATACTACAGCTGTCTGTTATGGCGTCTGTATACTACAGCTGTATGTTATGGCGTCTGTATACTACAGCTGTCTGTTATGGCGTCTGTATACTGCAGCTGTCTGTTATGGCGTCTGTATACTACAGCTGTATGTTATGGCGTCTGTATACTACAGCTGTATGTTATGGCGTCTGTATACTACAGCTGTATGTTATGGCGTCTGTATACTACAGCTGTATGTTATGGCGTCTGTATACTACAGCTGTATGTTATGGCGTCTGTATACTACAGCTGTCTGTTATGGCGTCTGTATACTACAGCTGTCTGTTATGGCGTCTGTATACTGCAGCTGTCTCTTATGGCGTCTGTATACTACAGCTGTCTGTTATGGCGTCTGTATACTACAGCTGTCTGTTATGGCGTCTGTATACTACAGCTGTCTCTTATGGCGTCTGTATACTACAGCTGTCTGTTATGGCGTCTGTATACTGCAGCTGTCTCTTATGGCGTCTGTATACTACAGCTGTCTGTTATGGCGTCTGTATACTACAGCTGTCTGTTATGGCGTCTGTATACTGCAGCTGTCTCTTATGGCGTCTGTATACTACAGCTGTCTGTTATGGCGTCTGTATACTACAGCTGTATGTTATGGCGTCTGTATACTGCAGCTGTCTGTTATGGCGTCTGTATACTACAGCTGTATGTTATGGCGTCTGTATACTACAGCTGTCTGTTATGGCGTCTGTATACTACAGCTGTCTGTTATGGCGTCTGTATACTACAGCTGTCTGTTATGGCGTCTGTATACTGCAGCTGTCTGTTATGGCGTCTGTATACTGCAGCTGTATGTTATGGCGTCTGTATACTACAGCTGTATGTTATGGCGTCTGTATACTGCAGCTGTCTGTTATGGCGTCTGTATACTACAGCTGTCTGTTATGGCGTCTGTATACTACAGCTGTCTGTTATGGCGTCTGTATACTGCAGCTGTCTGTTATGGCGTCTGTATACTACAGCTGTCTGTTATGGCGTCTGTATACTACAGCTGTCTGTTATGGCGTCTGTATACTGCAGCTGTCTGTTATGGCGTCTGTATACTGCAGCTGTATGTTATGGCGTCTGTATACTACAGCTGTCTGTTATGGCGTCTGTATACTGCAGCTGTCTGTTATGGCGTCTGTATACTGCAGCTGTATGTTATGGCGTCTGTATACTACAGCTGTATGTTATGGCGTCTGTATACTACAGCTGTATGTTATGGCGTCTGTATACTGCAGCTGTCTGTTATGGCGTCTGTATACTGCAGCTGTATGTTATGGCGTCTGTATACTACAGCTGTCTGTTATGGCGTCTGTATACTGCAGCTGTATGTTATGGCGTCTGTATACTACAGCTGTCTGTTA